GCTCAGAACTTCATGGAGTAAAACTCCACATACTCCCTTGACTTATGATACCAGAGGATGACAACCAAAGACAGGTAAGTTTTCTTTGCCTCCTTCAACTTAAGACAGGACATGAATGATGGAATCCATGCTCCCATGATGGGCAAGATTGGAGTCTGGTAAGAAAACACCTAAGACAGGCAAAGTCATCTGGGAGACTCATTGGAGTCTTAACATAAATAAAAAAGGAAGAATGGCTGGGGCCCACAACTGACTTAGTTTCCCAGTTTGAATCTGAAGTCTATTCTGATTCAATAGAGTTCAGGCTTGCTTGCTCTGGCTGGCCAGGCTTACCCCAAATGCAATTCCAGGTTCACTTGGAGACTCTGCCTAGGAAAAATAAGGTGGCATACCTGGAAAAATGGCAGAGAAAGTAACAAAGAACATTTGCTCTGCAAACACTAAGACCAAAGTTGGATCCCCAGGATCCTTGTAAAAGGAAGGAGTAGCCTGGGAAGATGGAGGGGACTGTGAGTTAAGCATTGGGCCAGCAACAGGAACATCTCAGGAGCTCTTGGGCAGCCAGTCTAGCTGCAACACTGAACTTGCGTTCAGTGAGAGAGCTTGTCTCCAAGAAATAAGGCACATAGCCAGAGAGAAAGATACTTGGTGCCCTGTTCTAACCTCTGCATACTCAAAACATGCAGCACAGACAGACAGACACACACACACACCACCACCACACCACACATACCACCACACCACACACACCACCACACCATACACACACACACACACACACACACACACACACACACACACACACACACGCAATGATCTGGGAATATAGTCAACACCTAATTTTTGCCTCCACAACATGGAAAAACAGACATGTATACACTGCCTACACATACAATTCAGAATTGACAGCATGGTTATACTTCCTCTACCACTTTTGCGGTATTAGAGGTTGAAATTAAGACATACCACTGTGTTTTGTCTATAGCCATCAATTTCATGAGACGGTGTGTCCCTATGGATCCGAGGCTGGCATTAAACCTAGAGTCCTTGCTCCTCATCCTCACAACTGCTGGAGAGTCTACGGCCATGCTTTTAAAACGCAGTATTGGAGCCTGGCCTGGTGGTACAATCCTGTAATCTCAGCTACCCAGGATGCTGATGCTAGAGAATATCAAATGTGAGGCCAAATTGTGCTACAGGGACCCTCAGGGTCAACCTGGACAACTTAGTCACCCTGTCTCAGAATAGAAAGCAGATAGAGGGTTGGAGCCCAGCATGGTGGATCATGTCTATAAGATCATAACTCAGGATGCTGAGGCAGGAGGATTTCCACCATGAAGAAGTTCAAGGAAATCCTGGCCACAGAATGAGATCCTGTTTCAAATAAAGTAAAAAGAAAGAAAGAATGGGTGGGGAAAATGGTACTATAGCTTAGTGGCTTGCCTAGTACATGTGTGACCCTAGGTTCGGTCTCCAAGACCACTAAAGAAGTAAAGGCTGCAATATGGCCAGCTTTGGCAAGCATTAATGTAAGCCTAGGAACTGTAACCATGAGATTGGATTCTCCAGAAGAGCT